TGGTGCCGAAGGCCAGGCACTGCGTGTGCATCGAACCCAGCCCAATGCAGGGGGTCCGCACATCCCCGCTAGCTAGGACTCCTGGGTTCTATTCCTGGCTTTGCCACTGGATAGTCCATGGAGAATGGTTGCCCATGCTGCGTGCAGATGCTGGCAGGGAAGCCTGGCCGGTGAGAGACGGGGATTAGCAGGAAGCTGACGACCCAGGTCAGCAACCTGGCCCTCACTTCTGTCTGCAATACAGTGGTTTTCAACCTGTGGTCCACAGACCCCTGCAGACAATGTCTAAGATTTCCAAAGGGGTCTGCAGCTCCATTTGAAATTTTTTGAAAAGAGGTTGAAAACCCCTGCTCTAGTACATTCACTCAGGGACCGAGCACTGGGGAAGCTGATTAGAAAGACGTGAGCAGCCCTGGGCTCAAAGATTAGTGGCCTCCTGTAACCTCCGCAGAGGGAACATCAAGTGCTCAGCTGTTCGTGGCCTCGCCTGGGCAGGGGGTTCTTACAAAGGGAATGGAGGGGCTGGCTCTTGGTGAGAGGGCAAAGGGAGAGTGGATGCAGCAGAGCCCCTGAGTTCGGATCTGACTAATGGCTGGAGCTATGCAGCAGAGCAGGCGAGCTGATGTCTGGCCTTGGAATCTGTGACAAATGAGTGAAATGAGTTTGGTGGTTTTCAGTCTAATCCAAAATGGCTGTTTGGGCACTACCACTGCATGGCTTGGGGTAAGTAACAGTGTCCGCTCAGGCAGATCAGAACACGGCTGCAGGTCACGACTGAGAGGTCAGAGAGCTGTGGGTTGGGACAGAGAGGTGTTGGCAGCACACGGAGGGGAACTTTGCACATCACCTGCCCCCACAATGCTTGGGTCTAACCAGCCCCTGTCAAAATTCTCCTAGAAACTTTAAAAGGGGGGGAAACCTGGCCCTTCTGAGCAGGCGAGTGGTCACGTCTCCCTTCTGCTATTGCCTCTGCATTTATGTGGAGTGTCGACCCCGCTTAGTTAGCCCAAGACAGATGGGACCCTGGCAGCAGGTTTGGTGACTGGAAAGAAACTTCTCCACGGCTGGGCGAGCTCAGGTCAGCCCGATAATTGCTCCGCTGGTCTCGTGCCAAAAGGGAGATTATGGCTTTGCTGACTGCAAACTGGCACAAGCCAATGAGCTGACACAGCTGGTATCCGTGTCTGGCACTGGACGAGGTGGGGGGGAAGGGTCCCACTGTCTCTGTCCTCAGCAGCACCTGCTGGTGAGACACCCCCCGCAAGCAGCTTCTCTGGTAGGGGATGTGAGAAGCGACGGGCAGACTTTGACCAGCCCTTCCTGGGAAAGGAACCCTCTCCATGCTCCTCCTTGGGGTCAGCGTCCTAGGCAGGAATCTGCAAGGAGATTTCTCCTGTCAAGATGGGAGCCAGATGTTCTCGAGCACTTAGAGCAGCAGGGAGTGGGAGTCAGGACTCCTGGATTCTATTCCCAGCTCTGCCATTAAGTTGCTCTGTGACCCTGGGGTCCTAACCTCTCCCTGCCTCAGTTTCCCCACCTGTAAAATGGGGATAACAATGCCACTTTTCTTCCTGAGACTTATGATGTTTAAACAGCCTCAGAAACACCCCTTGGTTCCATCGCTCTGTTCACTAAACCCCACTGGCTGTGGCTTTCCCCCAGCCCAGGGAGTTTGTGGTTACACTGGTTTCTCCTGCAGAGAAGGGAGCAAGATGTGCTCAGAATCAGGCCCACCATCAGGAAGGGGGCTGAGTCCTAACAGCAGTGGCACAGGGAGCTGTAGGTGCTCAGCACCTCTCAGGATCAAGCCCTCACCAGCAGCAGGGTTACACAAGCAAAGGGACAGAGGGGATGAAGTGGGCATTCACCCACGAAAGCTTATGCTCCAATACTTCTGTTAGTCTTAAAGGTGCCACAGGTCCCTCTGTTGCTTTTTACAAGCAAAGGGAGCAGAGTCTCCCAGCAGCGAGAAACACTGTGGCCCCCAGGGCGACCTTAACCCTTTAGGAGCCAGAGGCTTGCAAGCGCACTGGGATGATGAAACGACCATGGAAAGCACAGAGTCCTGTTTCAGCAGCCTCCTCCCCGAGCCGGATCCTTGGAGGAACCGCTCTGCCTAAGCAGATTGAGCAGGATTACTGGCCACCTCTGGCCTCTTTCCTCCCTGCCCCCCAGCCTTCCTCCTCCGCTGCTTTAAGTAATCATCTCCAAGACAGTTTTACACAGCTAATCCAGCCACCTCCATCTAATCTGCTCCAACGCCCACTGGCTGCTGCGTGGCCCCCTGCAGTGCACCCAAAGCCCTGCCCCACATACCGGGGGCCTGGCTGTGCCTTCCCTCCATGCAGCCGGCGGGGTCACCCCCTTTCCGCTGGGCTCCACTGCTTAGCATGCATGCAAGCCCCCCTCACCTCCAGTCCCAGGGGCAGAGCTCATGCAGACATCGCAGCTGGAGAGGCAGCGTGGAGCCACAGTTTAAAAATAAGGTTGGCCAAAGCTGTTCGCGAGGAAGGATTGGGCTCTCCGCCTGGAAGGTTAGGACATGCAGATCGTGCAAGCGAGGACGCTGCTGAGGCTGAGCCAGAGAGGGCTCTTCAGGGCACCGCTTAGGGGAGAAAGCAGCACAGAGGGCTCGCCAGGGCACGGGGGGATTTGGGGGGAGAGTGGCTGACGGGAAGAGAATCAGAATCACCTCCCTGCCACCCATTCCCCTCCTCCTGGCTCCCCGCCTCCACCCCCCTGAACTTGCCCTTTGGGGGTCTGCACAGCCCCACTCCCCCCTCACTCTGCCCGCACCAACCCTCGACCATGGATGGGGGAAAAGTACCAGCCACAAGAGGCCTCCTCTTCCCGCCCACACCTCCGTGGCCGCACCCTCCTCCGGGGGACCACGGGGCCGGCTCCAACCCTCTCCCCCTTCAGCTCCCTCCTGCAGATGCCCGCCGGGCTCCCCGCGGCTGCTGTGACGCACAAAGCAGAGAGTGATGGCACGGTCAGTTTGCGGCCTAGCGCTCCTCTCATCAGACCGTTGGCTCCTCGGGGCAGGGACCTGGCTGTCCAGCGCCCTGCCCCTCCCCAGCACTAAGCCAGTCACGAGTGTTTCACACCCACGAGCACTGGTGTAAGCAGCTACACGTGGTGGAGGGCCATAGAGCGCCTGGCCCCTTGTCTGCAGGGCTTAGCGTAGAAGGGGATGGGTGGATGTAACAGACTGGAAGGCCCAGAAGGGGGCAAAGGCCAAGGAAGGAGGAGAGACGGTCCAACGAGCAATGGGATGAAACTGAGCAGAGCATAGGCTGAATAGGATGCCCCAGCAGTGAGCTCTACAGCCTGTGGAAGCACTTTGCCCAGGGAATGGTGAGAACCCTGTGGGTGGCGCATTCGGAGCCCCAGAGTGAAGGGAACAATCCTGCATTGGTGAGGGGCAGAGAAGGAAGGGGAGATGGCCCTCTTGCTCTCTGCTTGCTACAGGGACAAGGCAGCACCACCAGCCCAGAGAAGGAGGGGAGACTGGGGCCACAGCCATTCCTGGAACACCCCTGGCTCCACGTTCAGTTGCGGATCCAGGGGCTGCCTCAAAGGTGCGGGCAGGGTTAACGCCAGGGGGAAGCAGGAGGCTTAGACCAGGCTGAGCACACGTACCCAGCGTCCAGGCCTCACAGAGATGCATGAAGCATAAGGGGGCAGTGCCGAGAGTCCAGCATGGAAGCTTAGGCATCTCAGAACCAGAGGGCCCAGCAAACCTGGCCCCCAGGAGGCAAGGCACCCAGTAGGTTAGCCACATACACTAGGGGCTGAGCTCCAAGAGAAGCAGCACCACAGACCCCACATCTGCACTAATCTACGTACAGAGGATAGCAAACCCTGGGAGCTCAGGGGCCCAGTGCCCAGCCCCGCTATTACCCAGAAGTCCCCAAAACCCCCACCCAACCGCAGCACCACTTTCTGTGTTACCCGAATCCATAGGGTCCTGTCCAGCCCCACATGCAGCATCTCACAATCCCTACCATACCCCAGGGCCGGTTGCCTAGGGCGCTAGGATTTGGGGGGTGGCATTTTCTTCGGCGGCAACTGCAGCGGCCGGATCTTCGGCCACCCCGGTCGCTGCTGGCATTTAGGCAGAGGGAGCTGGGGCAGGGGGGCGCAGGGAGGGCCGCCTGCAGCAAGTAAGGGGGGGGCGGCACGCAGGGGAACTCCCCGCTCCAGCTCACCTCTGCTCCGCCTCCTCCCCTGAGCACGCTGCCCCGCTCTGCTTCTCTCCCTCCCAGGCTTGCGGCGCTAAACAGCTGATTGGCGCCACAAGCCTGGAGGTGGGAGAAGTGGAGCAGCGACGGCGTGCTCGGGGAGGAGGTGGAGCAGAGGTGAGCTGGGGTGGAGAGCTGCTGCACGGCTCCCCGGG